CTCTTGGCACACAGGGCGGTGGGCAGCACCTCTCTCCCGGCAGTGGCGGGACTGTCCCAGCAGAGGGGACATGGCCAAGTTCCTGAGGCTGCCCATCACCCGTGTACCAGGCAGCATGGCCCTGTCCCTGCAGGGGCTATGCCCGGTGGTGGGTGTCCAAAAGGAGGGCTTGTCCAGGAGTAGAGCCTGGGACTTCTCACACCCTAAGTGAGAATCATAGCCCTAGACCAATGAGCTGTGATGTGCAGCTGCCCGGGCACCCCCCAGCCTGTGCCAGGCACTGGGGCGCCGGGGGAGCAGTGCTGTCTGGGGATCCCGGGGCCCCAGGAGCCACTTTGTGGGAATGGGTCCTGCCGCCAGGCCCTGGGGAGCAGAGCAGGGCTGAACATGTGTTCACGGGGATGCTCCCGTCTTGACCAAGGGCATGATTTTCTGGACACATATCCTGGGGTCAGGGGCTACCTGTAGCTATGGCAGGGGTGGCACAGTGCCATTCCCATGCCCACACTACCCTGCACCACAGTCCCAGGCAGAGCTGCCCAGTGGGGATGTCATCCCACCTGTTCCTGGTCACCACAGGGGCTGCGCGCGGCAGTGGGTGTCCAAAAGGAGGGCTCGTCCGGGAGTTGAACCCGGGACCTCTCGCACCCTAAGCGAGAATCATACCCCTAGACCAACGAGCCAAGGCACAGAACTGACTAGGCAACCCCACCCTGTGCCAGGAAAAGGGGGGATCAAGGACAAGCTGGGACAGGGGGAGCCAGCAGTGCACAGGCAGCCCTGCAATGCCCCAGGCTGGGGTTGTGATAGCCCCAGAGCAGGAGGGGCACAGGGTTCCCAGGGTTTTCAAGGTTTTGCAGACCCAGGAGAGGTGAGGAAACAACCATTGAGGGGAGAAGGGTGCAGGGATGCACCAGAGGGTGATGCAGCAGAGGGTGATGATGGGTAGCCGCTTGGTGTCTTGGCAAAATGGTTCTCACCTCCCCACCCTTCTCCCCTCAATGGTTGTTTCCTCACCTCTCCTGGGTCTGCAAAACCTTGAAAACCCTGGGAACCCTGTGCCCCTCCTGCTCTGGGGCTATCACAACCCCAGCCTGGGGCATTGCAGGGCTGCCTGTGCACTGCTGGCTCCCCCTGTCCCCGCTTGTCCTTGATCCCCCCTTTTCCTGGCACAGGGTGGGGGTGCCTAGTCAGTTGCCTAGTCAGTTCTGTGCCTTGGCTCGTTGGTCTAGGGGTATGATTCTCGCTTAGGGTGCGAGAGGTCCCGGGTTCAACTCCCGGACGAGCCCTCCTTTTGGACACCCACTGCCGCGCACAGCCCCTATGGTGACCAGGAACAGGTGGGATGACATCCCCACTGGGCAGCTCTGCCTGGGACTGTGGTGCAGGGTAGTGTGGGCATGGGAATGGCACTGTGCCAACCCTGCCATAGCTACAGGTAGCCCCTGACCCCAGGATATGTGTCCAGAAAATCATGCCCTTGGTCAAGACGGGAGCATCCCCGTGAACACATGTTCAGCCCTGCTCTGCTCCCCAGGGCCTGGCGGCAGGACCCATTCCCACAAAGTGGCTCCTGGGGCCCCGGGATCCCCAGACAGCACTGCTCCCCCGGCGCCCCAGTGCCTGGCACAGGCTGGGGGGTGCCCGGGCAGCTGCACATCACAGCTCATTGGTCTAGGGCTATGATTCTCACTTAGGGTGTGAGAAGTCCCAGGCTCTACTCCTGGACAAGCCCTCCTTTTGGACACCCACCACCGGGCATAGCCCCTGCAGGGACAGGGCCATGCTGCCTGGTACACGGGTGATGGGCAGCCTCAGGAACTTGGCCATGTCCCCTCTGCTGGGACAGTCCCGCCACTGCCGGGAGAGAGGTGCTGCCCACCGCCCTGTGTGCCAAGAG